CACATGACCGGAAATGTTGTGAAACTTAGAAGAGGTATCTAGGTACCCCGGGGTGTTGGTTTAGAGTAGGGTTGTTTTGCTTTCACCACACCTCACCACAGTCCACACATATACCTTCACCACACCTCAACACAAGTCCACATATACCTTCACCACACCTCAACACAAGTCCACATATACCTTCACCACACCTCAACACAAGTCCACATATACCTTCACCACACCTCAACACAAGTCCACATATACCTTCACCACACCTCAACACAAGTCCACACATATACCTTCACCACACCTCAGCACAAGCCCACATATTAAATATGAAAAACCTAATGGTGTAGTTAGGTAGTAATAACTGTTTATGTCTCAAGTGGAAATGTGTATTCAGTAGAATACCTTTTCTAAACCTACCTTGTTTAAAATATAACCGTACCGTGATCATCAGCCGAGAAGAGAGTGTTTCACGTGTAGACCAAATATTTCACTGGGTTGGGTTTTAACTGGTGACGTAACGTGGTAACCACAGCCAAAGCAGGTGTTTAATCCCCTGAACGTTTCATACAACAGGTGGACTCATTGGATTAGTCACGTGATCTGTTTGAACTTATGGATGATCTAAACCAGCGATAGTAAATACTACACCATTGGCGCATATAGCTCTGGTGCTTTATGCCATAAAACATGCAACAAACAAAAACTTTTTGCTAACGAAATGTTTTTTAGATTGGAAGTGCTTGTGATAGAAGGCAAGATATCACAACATCTTCAACATGAAGGCAAGATATCACAACATCTTTAACATGAAGGTAAGATATCACAACATCTTCAACATGAAGGCAAGATATCACAACATCTTTAACATGAAGGTAAGATATCACAACATCTTCAACATGAAGGCAAGATATCACAACATCTTCAACATGAAGGCAGGATTTCACAACATCTTCAACATGAAGGCAAGATATCACAACATCTTCAACATGAAGGCAGGATATCACATCTTCAACATGAAGGTAAGATATCACAACATCTTCAACATGAATGCAAGATATCACAACATATTCAACATGAAGGCAAGATATCACAACATCTTTAACATGAAGGTAAGATATCACAACATCTTCAACATGAAGGCAAGATATCACAACATCTTCAACATGAAGGCAAGATATCACAACATCTTCAACATGATTTAGAGCTTCTTTTCTACTATGAAAATTTTCGCTTTCAAGTTTCACATGATTTTTTCTTGTTTACGTATCTTTTACTTTCAACGTGAATTTTATCTTTTGGATCAATCACATTTACAGCTATGCTGTTTTCTTGCTGTTATAAAACGTGTGTGTGGTGGGTGGTACCTGGTGGAAACTGTATAACGTTCAACTGGACATAAAGAAAAATAAAATGGTGTCCTGTAATCAATTTGTAATGTTCCCATAAAAGCGAGAAAACCAATAATGAAACCACTTTTAACACTAAAATACATTAATTCAGTTGACAACCATGGATATCTCATAATCATTTGATACTGATGTAACCTTAAAAGCAAGAACAAATGATCAAGTTTTGATATGAAACTAATCTGACATTCATGAGGACGTTACGGTATTGAAATAATCTCATAGCCATGAGGATCTGGTGGTATTAAGGTGTTGGCAACCAATAGGATCTGACAGTGATGAATTAATCTGACGGACAAGTGGTTACTTCTTGAAAGTTAAACTTTTTACAGAGAAATACGTGTTATCAATAATGTATATCATTGTGATAATTGTTTCTACATTTTCAATTAATTTGTATTAATATTAAAGTAATAAATACTTGTACGTATATATCGAAGAAAATTCCCACGTAATAAGAGTTGCCCATTGTGGAATTATAACTACATCGTTATATTATTGTATACATACTCATGTAGATGGCGCTGTCTTACTGCAATAGTGGGTTACTTTTTTTATTACATCATCAATATGTTTTTTTTGTCATCATGCTCAGCCTTTACAGAAACTTCTGTTCTATCTATTTGTATTTTACCAATGAAAATGTATCATCACTGTAGCAACACAATGGTGTAGAAATGTTACAGTTATTACTGGAGATTCAGTTAGTTATTCCCACATTAAATGTGATTCAGGTTGACAGCTTCATAAATATCAAACGTTAGCAAGTGTTCTGCGCTAATAACTTTATTTTACTATATTAGCAGAATCAGAACAAACTAGAAACATGTCCGACTTACACCATTAGTTGGCGCTTAGTTACCAAGAGACGAGTGGTTTTCCTTAATTTTCTTTTTTTTTAACTTTTTTCTAACAAATGCATTTTATTTATATATACTACATTTTCCGAATTATTGTTTGTTTGAAATTAAGCACAAAGCTACACAATGGGCTATCTGTGCTCTGCCCACCACGGGTATCGAAACCCGGATTCTAGCGTTGTAAGTCCGCAGACATACCGCTGTGCTACTGGGGGGCGGTTAAGAAATAATACTTGAATGAAATCATATTACTTTACACATTGGAAATAAACCTTAAACCTAATTTCATCCAATTTAAAATCGTTTGATAAAGAATCGACTTCATATTATAGCTTGGAAAGATCGTCTATAAAAAACGAACTTGATTTGAGAGTTTAAAGTGCAAACTGGAGAATTATATTGATTGTTAAAAAAACACGACCTATATATACAATTGAAAGGAATGCAACGTTAGAATAATTACTCCATAAATAGGTATTAAAACAGGGACTTGCCCTAAAAAGACTCTACATATGTTTCAGTGTTCTATTGAAGACAGTCTTGCCAGCGCCACGGTTAGGAGAAGGTCACGAAATGCTACCCACTCCAGAGATCAATAATTCCGGTTTGATTACCACGTCGCCCGTACCAATCCGACGTCCTTGCAGCCGAAGGTTCCACCCGTGATTATCGACGGAAGACCTCAAGACTTTACCCTTTGACAGTCGTTTGAATTTGTTCTACGGAATAAGCCAAACACATCCACTGATGCGTCCAAGACGAGACTACTACGTAAGGGAGAGATTCTTATCCAACGCCCTACAAGTGATGACTTTCATTACCTCTGTTCTGCATGGAATTCAGTTTCACCAGTGACATGCCAACAACCAATGTGTAATACAAAACTTTTCTCTGTTCTCCTTAGGAACGTAGATACTTCTATCGCGACTGAGGACATCCACCAAGCCCTAGAAGCTTCAACACAATCTGAAATTAAAGCAGTCCACAGTCCAATCAAGAAAGTCAGGCCAGCTTACAAATTTACTAAAGGCAGCCAGCTATTCCAAGTTACAAATTTACTAAAGGTAACCAGCTATTCCAAGTTACAAATTTACTAAAGGCAGCCAGCTATTCCAAGTTACAAATTTACTAAAGGCAGCCAGCTATTCCAAGTTACAAATTTACTAAAGGCAGCCAGCTATTC